TCGTTGGATTTTTCTGGAATAACTGTAATTTTGATGATTTTTTTTTTAGAAACTATTTTGTGAATTACTAAAATTCTTTTTAAATTATCGAAAATAATTTCTTTTCAAAATTACGTTAAATTTCTTAGAACTACAAAAATTATTTTGAACTTACAAAACTTCTCTTGGAATAACTGAAATTAAGTTGGAAGTTGGAATTACAAGAATTAATTTAAAATTATAAATATAAGAAAACAATAGAATTACAATTGGAATTATAGAAATTTTGGTGCATTTTTTTGTAATTATTGAAATTTCTGTGAATTTTTTTGGAATTAATGACACATTTTTTTCAAATTAACGACCCCTCAAAAAAACCCAACAAAAAACTCAAAACTTTTGAGGCTAATTACCGAGATTTCCAAACCAGAAGTGGGCCAATTCGTGTGCGATCACTGAGAATTTCTGCGGATTGTCAAAAATGTCCTCTTTTGAGGACAAAAGGCCGGTTTTGAAGGTGATAAGACCCCAGTTTTCCGTCGCTGTACTCTCATCTCTCTCAAATTCGACAAAATCTGATCAAAGTAAAAAAAAAATTACTGGAATTTTTGCAGAATTATTGGATTTTTTGCGGAATTACTGTGCATTTTTTTGGGGATTACTCACCGATTTTAGGTAAAGTGTAGCTCTGGTTTGTGTATTGTTCATAAAAATCGACGACTTTGCTTGCGAATTCGAGAAGATCGGTTGTGTTGTCATTTTCGACGTCTGGAGCGTAGATTCGGTAGGGAATTTTGTGGTAAAACTCCTTGTAGGTGTGTTTTGAGATGACAAATGATAAGAGATAAGTGGCCATTGGTGGGGTTGTTTGAAACGTGTACAAAACCCCATTTTTGGTTTCCACAATTTTCTAAAACTCGTTTTTTACACAAAAAAAATTATCGAAAAATTTCGAAAACTCACAATGACTGGCATGTTGGAAATCGCATTATAAGTGTTATTGGGGACCACTAGAGACAGTTTAATGGGGGCTTTAAGCCCCGGCTCGTCGAAACAAGGAAACACTTTTCGAGCAAAAGTCGGTTCAAAATCAGTCGCGATTAAATGATTTGAAACGGTTCCATTTTCACTAAATCCGGACATGAACAATCCATGAGTGTCACTTGCGAAATTCCCGGAATATCGAACCTGGATTAAGTGATTTCCGGGTGGTATTGTCCCGGAAATGCGTATGAGATCGTTAGGTTGAAAACTATAAACTTTTCTTGACTCCGGATTATTATTACAATAACAAGATTCGACTTTTCTTCTATCAAAAAAAATACTTTGAATTGTTAAATCAGTGGCGTGAAAATCGAGGAATTCGAGCGAGGTTTTGACCCTGACATGGATTTGGACATCACCGGAAAAAATTTTCTCATCCAAATTCGGCTTAATCTTGATTGAGTAAAACAAAGGCCGGACGTTACCCGAAAGTCGGTACTTACTGGGGTACCACATACACGAACCCAACGAGAAAAAAATCACAAACAGCACAAGTGCGAAATTCATTTTACGATGATCATAAGTGGTTAAAAACTGATTGTATTGTTTGGTAATTTGCCTAGTCAAGGCTTTCAATATTTAATTTGTGACGGTTTTTATGCAAATACTTGCTTTCAAGTGAACTATAACATATTTTAGGGAATAAACTCAATGTTTTAGAAAGTCAGAGTTTCAATTAACAAAAAACGGGAAATTCGAGGAAAACAATGACATTTTCTGCTACGTGTAGATAAATTTTGAGAAATCAAAGAGATTTTTATTTAAATTTAAAATCCCTATTTGAAAAAAATATTAAACTTATGCCAGAAATTACAAAATGTTGTCTTGTCTCTGTTGATTTTGATTTAATTAAAAAAAAATGTGTCTTATATTTCATTGCTTGCAACGCGTTCTGATTATTTTGTTTATTTACTTGCAAATTATAGTTTTGTTTTTCACTCTCGATCTGAATCGATTGCGAATAAAATAGTGTATGTTATTCGGAATAAAAGTGAGTTTGAGTGGCTCAGATGAATTATTTATTAAAATAATTATTTTAATTAATTATTTAATTAATTTTAATTAATTAATTACTAAAATAATCGGCAGTTTTGCCACATAAATTATCATTTTTACTCTTAATAACATAATATACTATTTTAAAATCTTTTGTATGCAAAT